GGGGGGGGCGGTGAAGAGCTGACATACTAAGAACCCTAAACCCTAAACTGGCCCTAAACCCTACCTGACCTATCACCCGAACTTAAGCCCCTAATAAACCCTAACTAACAACCGTCGAAGCTAAACGCCATAAACCCCCACTCGGCCAAAGCGGTGATTATAGAGGGCCAAGAAGCCGCTCCAAAACAGGAAGATGTCGAAATGCCTTCGACACCGCAGTATCCACCACCCTGACAAAGTGTGACAAAGTCGATATGTTGAGATCCTATGTAAAGGACTCGGACAGGCTTTGACTTTGACGAAGCTCAGACCCAAACCAACAATCATCTAGATTGGCGTTCTTCTTCTTGAGCTGTTTGAGAGCAAACGTGACATTCCGATCTCCAGTCTTCGACTTCGGAAGCTGCGGTTTCGACTTTCTGGAATGCCTCCCACAGGGTTTAGGGGTTTAGGGTTTGAGGGCTTCGGGCTGGTGGGGTTCGAGCATTTAAAAGCATAAGCCGGCTGCAACATTCAATTCACAATCCCCATGATCCCACCTCAGCAAAATATCGGATAACTTGCGTCTCCGCTTGGTCGATGTCCCTCTGGGGAAGGAGAAGCTGCCTGATACCACAGAATTGTTGCTTGCACGGAACTATTAAAATTTTATGGGACGAAATGGACAGCCACGGCTTGGCTTTTAAGTTTAAGCTTCCGACGATTCCCTGCTAGCTTCTTCTTGTAGCCGACGATCCATAAACGGCGACGAGCTTGAGGCAGATCGAAATGCAAGGCATCCAGCACCTAGTTTTAAAGCGACTAGAATAGAATCGAACAGTAATCGACTGAAGCCACGTACCTGTATCTTGATGTTGTAAAGATGATCGCCATTTATCCTCGGCTACACAGCCACGAAGCCTGAACTGAAACCGCAGTCTCACTATACGATTTCAAACTAGGTGCAATCTAGACTCCGTTTCAACATCGATTGTAGCAGTGGCAGATTCTTCTTGGAAGCGATCGAGACAACATTCTCCAGCATGAAGGCATCAGGCTGCATGTCCGCGATCCTGTCGGCAACCTGGGCTGTAGCTTACATGGGAATAATACATACGAACGTACGGCAGCTTCCAAGCTTGGCCTCGAATTTTGTAGTAGGAAGTAATATAACAAAGCCCCAAGCAGCCACTCCCATCAAGCCTGCTCGCTCATCCAGTGCTCCTCGCTTCTTGCCGATCGATGAGAACGGCTGACACGGTGGCCCCGCGCCATATAAGTGTATTTTCCGGTACCTCTTCCCCAAACCTCAGCTCACAACTTCCATTGAAATGTTATGATTGCTCCCATGGCCGATTGCTTCCTGCTGCTCTTCCTACTGCAGGCCAGGGAACACACAGTCTTTTGTGCATCATCACTGAGTTTAATTGGGGTGTACAGTGCGGCGATGCGGTTCCTCAAAGCATTGTCCGATTCGGATGCATAGACCAACTGGTGCTTCAAGCCAGCCAGCCTCAGATGACCACGGAGATAGGGTTTAGGGTTTAGGGGGGGATATCACAAGTAAACTTCGCTTCCAAGACATGTCACTCTAGGCAACCAAGAGGCTCGCAGCACAAACTCAGCGGTTCTAGCCCAGCACAGTCAGAGGCTAGGTTCAACATGGAAACCAATGGTTCCAATGATTTGTTTCATGAAGTCAGCAACTAAAACCTGGCGAAGAAAACCTTCAGATAGGGTTTAGGGTTTAGGAATTAGGGTTTAAGTTTGGGGTTTAGGGGGGGACTAGGATTTTGAGTTTCAAGGCCTCAACCCAACTATTCATCAAACGAGCAAGCTTGAGCCTTTTGTGGGGCAGGCAAGCTCCGACCGACCTGGCTTCACTGCCATCATCGCTGCACAGGCCAGCAATCAAAAATGCATCCATATAGTTTTGAGTTCGGGGCATCGAGCAGCACCGGTCACGAAGTCAAAAATTG